ACGTGAAACTGCTGCCAGTAAGAAATGGACATGGGAAGTGTCCCGTTGACACCACTTCAGGGACACAATGTTTGGGAACACACCCCAGGCTACATGCATGAAAACACCCCGGAATGGAAACAATGCTCGGTGTGCGGCAAGGATGACACTGGGTGTCACTCCTTTAAAGATGGACACTTGCCTGACCACACCAGGCATGTGTCTCCTCCACTGGGGCTCGTGTCTGCTGCAGTGACCTCCAGGCTGCAGTCTGCAGGGACAAGATCGTCTCTGCTGGAAACAAGGAAGGCTGTCTGGCTCAACACCCGCCAGGCACCCTGCTTTCTGCGTAATCCGGTGGTTGCCAACCTTTCAGACCTCACGGACTACCAGTTGGCCACCGCTGCTCCAAAAGTTTCCTTAAACCAGCAGTCACCAACCTTTCCGGCCTCCCGGGCCTCCCCGGCCCGGACCACTGGTCGGTGACTGCTGGCGTGATCAATGCCGCAAAGCCCAAGGCACCACTCGAGCATCTCATAAGGTGCGGAGGGTCCAGGCCGCACGACCTGGTCCTGCAACGGAGAGCTCACTGCGGAGAACGGCCTCATTTACAGGGAATGCCTCATCGGCTCACCTCCGCCAGATGCCATCAGGCTGGGTGTTGCCTACAGGGACAGGGAGCCACCAAAGGTGGGCACCCTGGCTGGTCCACAGGAGTCCAGGGAAGTGGGGGCAGCCCTAGCAAGTTTGGCTCAGAGGACAGAGATCAGCCTGTGGACTGAAGGGTTCCAGATTTTATTCCAGTAAGGGCATATGCCTGGGTTGCAGGCTCGATCCCCAGTAGGGGGCATGTAGAAGGCAGCTGATCAATGATCCTCTCTCATCATTGATGTTTCTATCTATCTCTTCCTTCCTCTTTCTCTAGAAACAATGGAAATATCATTAAATGAGGATTAACAAAAAAAATAAAAACTGATTTATTCTACCAGTATTTGCCAAAATATGTCTTTGAGCCAGAGACAAAATAATCTATTTTGTCCTTCATGAAAAAGGAACTTTACAAAAAAGATACAAAACACACAGCAGAGAAACCAAGATGGAGGCATAAGTAAACACCTGAACTTGCTCAGGAGGTGTTAATTTAGCTTATACCTGAGGCCGCCCAGCAGGAGCACAACCACTTCAAAACTATAACTAAAAGACAAAACAGACATCATCCAGAACCACAGGAAGGCTGGCTGAGTGGAAATTCTACCGCTAGAAGGGAAGAGAAAAGCACACTGAGACTCAGAGGAGCTGTGGAAGTAAAGAACAGAGGTACGGAGGCACACGCGCTCAGAGGGGGCTGGCAATCGAGTACGTGGCTGACTTTTTGAAGCAGGAGGGAGACACAAGCTCTTGACTGCTCTGAACTCCAGTTCTGAGCGAGATTCTGGGGACTCAGAATCATATGGGGAGAAACTGGACTGCCTGGCAGTGGCGGAACTCGAGTGTGGCTTTCTCTCAGAGGTGCTTGCAGTGATTACCAAGGAACACTGAGACCCAGAGGCCTCTTAGGGCAGGGCTGACAGGAAGCCATTGCTATTTGCTCCATCTGAGACTCCACCCCATCCAGCTGTGCACAGAATTTTGCATATAAATGGCCTGCTCCTTTGAAATCTAAACTTGCCTAACAAACTGCAGCTGAGTCAGAGAGAACCAGAACATCCAAAAGAAGGCCCAAGGCCCCACAGCAGTTGCATTGCTTCACATCTGGGCACCTCCAAAACCCAAACAAAGAAGAGGAATCTGGAGATCCCTCCATAGCTCCTGCTGGGCGGCCTCAGGTAGAAGCTAAATTAACACCTCCTTGGAGATCCAAGAGCCAGTGTACCCACAGGTCAGAGTAGGACCACCCAGATTACATCTCCTCAAATCCATAAGGGACACACTCAGGGGGCAGATTCAGTGAGCACCATAGCCCCACTGAAGCAAGTCTTGCCTCATAAGGGTGTCTCCAGCACAGAAGTTCTCCCATTGTAGACACAACTGATCCTCAGAGCCAATTGGCCTGGAGATCAATTCTTCCCAGTGATAACCAACAACAATCAAGGCTTATCTACATCAATACTATGCACACAGCCCACAAAGGGGTTCACTAAGAGTGTCCACCTCAGATAACTGGGGAGGCTGAGCCACTGAGCCCTATAGGACTCTTAGCACACAAAGCCACTCTATCAACACAGGGAAGCAGCCAAAATTTGGAGTCAAAGAAATGTATTACAAATGAAAGAAATGGAGGAAAGTAAACTACTAAATATAAAGTTCAAAACCACGGCATTTTTATCTTTTCTAGAAAATTTTCAAGAATTTCTAGTGAGACAGTTGAGGACATAATTTCTAGTGAGACAGTTGAGGACATAAAAAAAAGACCAACTAGAAATTAAGCATATACTGATTGAAATAAAAAATAACGTACAGAGATCCAACAGCAGACTAGAGCAGTGGTCGGCAAACTGTGGCTCGCGAGTCACATGCGGCTCTTTGGCCCCTTGAGTGTGGCTCTTCCACAAAATACCATGGCCTGGGCAAGTCTATTTTGAAGAAGTGGCGTTAGAAGTTTAAATTTTAAAAATTTGGCTCTCAAAAGAAATTTCAATCATTGTACTGTTGATATTTGACTCTGTTGACTAATGAGTTTGCTGACCACTGGACTAGAGGATCACTAGAATCTAGTCAAAGATTTGAAATACAAAGAAGCAAAAAACACCCAACTGGAAAAGCAAAAAGAAAAAAAAAAAACCAAAAATATGAAGGCAGTGTAAGGAGCCTCTGGGACAACTTCAAGCATACCAACATCTGAATTATGGGGATGCCAGAAGAAGAGAGAGCAAGATACTGAAAATCTACTTGAAGAAGTAACTTTCCCCACCTGGTAAAAGAAATAAACTTACAAGTCCTGGAAGCACAAAGGACCCCAAACAAAAGGAATCCAAAGAGGATTCCAAGACACATCATAATTAAAATGCCAAGAGCAAAAGACAATGAGAATATTAAAAGCAGCAGGAGAAAAACAGTTAGTTACCTACAAGGAAGCACCCATAACACTGTCAGCTGATTTCTCAACAGAAACTATGCAGGCCACAAGGGAGTGGCAAGAAATATTCAAAGTGATGAATAGCAAGAACCTACAACCAAGATTACTCTACCCAGCAAAGCTATCATTCAGAGTTGAAGGTCAGATAAAGAGCTTCACAAATAAGAAAAAGCTACTAAAAGAGTGCATCACCGCCAAACCAGAATTATATGAAATGCTGAAGGGTATTCTTTAAGAAAAGGAAGAGGAAGAAGAAGAAAAAGGTAAAGATAAAAATTATGAAGAACAAATATCTATCAACAAATGAATCTAAAAATCAAGTGAATTGCCAAGACCGGTTTGGCTCAGTGGATAGATCGTCAGCCTGTGGACTGAAAAGTCCCGGGTTCGATTCTGGTCAAGGGCATGTACACTGGTTGTGGGCACATCCCCAGTGGGGGGTGTGCAGGAGGCAGCTGGTTGATGATTCTCTCTCATCGATGTTTCTAACTCTCTGTCCCTCTCTCTTCCTCTCTGTAAAAAAATCAATAAAATATATATATATAAAAATCAAGTGAATCAAAAATCTGATGAACAGAATAAACTGGTGAATATAATAGAATCAGGGGCACAGAAAGGAAGTGGACTGATAACCCTGGGTGGGGAGGGAAAAAGGGGTGTGAGGAGTGTGGAAGAGATTGGACAAAAATCTTACACCTATAGATGAGGACAGTGGGGTGCGGGGTAAGGGAATGTGGTGGAGTGGGAACCGGATGGAGGGGAGCTATAAGGGGAAAAAAGAGGAACAACTGTAATAATTTGAAAAATAAAGATTAAAAAAAACAACAACACAGCAGTTATCAATTACCTACTGGTTTTATTTACCTTTGACTATTCTTTAACTACTCCAGTAAGCAATTTTTAAAGAATAGTCAAAGGTAAATAAAACCAGTAACTAGTAATTTTTAGCTAATATTCTGAAGTTTTGTATCTACTGGAACTTTAGTAAGAATGTCTATTCAAAATCAAATCTGCTTCTTTCCCCATCTCCTTCTTAACGATTAAAAAGTGGGGCTGTGAAAAGGTCTTAATCCATCAATTAAGAGAGTTTTTCTAATATGCTGAAATGTTGGCTCCGTCTACATACACACCTTAACTAAATTACATTTTTAAAATATGGCAACTCTAAATATATGTTTACTTATCTACAATATGCCAAATAAGAAATTTGATTAATTTTTTTTCACTTTTCAACCAGTTATTTGATATTTAGTATCAAATTGCATTCTGTTTATAAATTAAATACTTCCACCTCGAAGTACCTGGGCCTTTGGTAACGTACCAGGAAGAGGGTGCCACGTCAGCATAAGGGAACGAATGAATCACTGCGCTGTTATAAAGCAGGGATTGACACCACCTTCTCTACCGACCCAGAGAACAAGCGTTGTCAGCTTGTGGGTCAGATATGGCCTCTGTGAGATATTCTTCTTTCCCTCCACAACCCCTCAGCCCTTTAAAAATATATCAACCACTTTTATCCCAAGGATCCTATAGAATTGTAACATACCAGAGCCTCAGCTCAGGATTAAGTCGTGTGCATGTACGGTCCCCTAGGCCTAATCTACCATCAGGGCCATGTCCTCTGCCCCTCAAAGCCTTACACGCTCCACAGATGCTGCTGTTGCCCCGCAACGCTCCAGAAGTCCCACCCGCCCACCGCGGGACCCCTCAATGCACTTCCTAGTGAGTCTGGTATTTGGTTGTGACGACATGACAGCATCATGACCGCAGGCCTTTTATGATATAGGTTAATAGAATATTTCTCATGGAAGGACCTATAGTTATTAGAAGAATTTATGTCAGACCGAAACATAGAGGAAAGCAGAAAATAATCTGGCTTATAATATTAGTTTCAATATCTACTAAAAAATAACTAAGTTATTAACTCAAAAACTAGCTGACTTACCTTTGGCTGCAGCATGAACCACAGCAGCTGGAGAAAGGAGCTGATAAGTTTCAAACCCCAAGTAAGACAAGGCTGAGAACATAAGGCTTCTTTGGAAAGCTCCTGGGTTTCCCATCACCTGTGAAAACATCAAACAGAAAATGTGAAGCAACTGCTCCAGTAAGCAAAGATTACATCCCCCTTCTCCACCCAAAGCACTCAATCCTAAGAGTACTGGCTGCTTAAAATTCACTTCATCAAATTCTTCAGTACAACTATTTCACATTACTGCTTTATAAGGAAAGCATATCCTGTTAAGAAAAGAAAAATTTAAAACAATTGCTAAGGGCAGCAGCTTATCTAAAACTCAGACACGTTCACTGATAAGTGCTGGAGTGAGGAAGCCAGGATATTCTAATGGTATGGCTTAATACATAGGACACCAACATATAATTTTCAGTCCTTTTTTTAAAACTAGTCCTTTTTATTTATTCAGAGAGAAGAAATGAGAGAGAAACATCAGTTTGTTGTTCCACTTACTTACACACTCATTGATTCTTGCATGTGCCCTGACCAGGGATTGAACTCACAACCTTGGCATATCAGAACAGTGATCTAACCAACGGAGCAATTTGAGCAAACATATCCATCTTAAGACCACACGAGATGAAATATATTATATATGATAATTCTGCACATAAAGGTGTAAAGGCTTTCAGTAAAGATTCTTCAAAGGTGACCCACAGCCCCGGCCGGTGTGACAGCTGGGCGAGCGCCTTCCTGTGCACGAAGGCTCCAGTTCAATACCTGGCAGGTACAATCCCTGCTTGAGGGGTGCCCAGCTGATTGCACGCTCACGCTCTCTCTCTCCTTCCTCTCTCTCTCTCATCAATAAAAAGATTTTAATTTAAAAAATAAAACAGATTTTATTTTAAAAAATATAACAGGCCGAGACCGGTTTGGCTCAATGGATAGAGCGTCGGCTTGGGGACTAAAGGGTCCCGGGTTCGATTCCAGTCAAGGGCATGTACCATGGTTGTGGGCATATCCCCAGTAGGGGGTGTGCAAGAAGCAGCTGATCGATGACTCTCTCATCGGTGTTTCTAACTATCTCTCTCCCTTCCTCTCTGTACAAAATCAATAAACTATATTAAAATAAATAAATAAATAAATAAATAATAAAAAATATAACAGTGGCATAACATTTAAAAAAAACTGATCCACAAACCCACAGTTTTCAGTAAACAATGAATAAAATGAAGAGTATATCCAAGATATAGAAATAACTTTTCATAACTCTGGCCAGGACCCCTAGGACCCCTAAGAAAGGAGGCACGTTTGGGTCTCCCGTCCCAGGGAAGTGACATCCCATAGCCCTTCCTGCTGCCCAGTCCATCCCCTGCCCCCTGTGAGCTGGGTGCTCCCTCTCCTCAGGCCAAAGAGCAAGCAGCTCCCTCCTGACGTCACCTCTCCCCGTCCTGCTTTCCAACTTCTCTTCTCAAAACTCCAAAAAGTCGTCTGCGCTCTGACCCTCCTCCTCCTCCCCCACTCTCTCGAGCTCACACCCACACAGCTGTGCCCCCACACTGCCTGTGCCATTCTCCAGTCTCCTCTCACTCGCCCAGCAACAGCACTGGACAGCGCTCCCTCCCTCCCGTTTCTTCCTTAAAGCATGAATGGGTGCTAGGCTTTTAAGACGAGATGCATGACATACAGTGAACTGCACATACACAACGTGTATCGTTAAGACCCCACACCATCGGTCCGACCAGGAACTGCCCCTGGAACCATCAGCCTGGCTCCTGACACACCCTCCATGGCTTTGGAAATACTCCTGGACTCCCTCCCGTTGCAACAACGGCTCCTTCTCCTGTCGGGTCCCTGTCTCCAATACCCGCTGCCCGCTGTGTCCCGAGCGCAGCCCGGCCTCCTTTTCCCCGTTTGTCTCACTGTGGCGATCACACCTCATTCCATGACTTGACCACCTTCAACATGCCAAAACCCTGCCTGTGGCCCCAGCCAGGATGTCTCCTGGAAACCTCGGAATCCTAAAGCAGCGGCCTAATCCACACCTCTGCACATGGGGGATGACAGGAACCTCACGTCCATCAGCCATGGCGGCCACGGTCCCTGAATCCACTGTTTTCGCTTTCACGGTAACTGACAACCGATTCTCCTGGCTGTGCAGCTTACCCACACACACCTGCAGGGGTTCTGTGGGAGCTGCCCTGAATGCAGGGTCCTACACGCCTGAATGCAGGAGTGGGTGCAGGACGCAGCTCTCCATGTGCCCCCCTTTCCAATAACCTCAGTGGAAAATTACCACTACCCCTAGGAATGCTGCTAACTGCAGATGTCTTTGCTTTAGGGTAAAAGAATTGATAGGAGCCTGCTGACACAGAAGGAGCTGCGAGTTAAGAGAAAGATAGGTGATTGTAAAAGGTCAGGTGCTGAAGGAACTTATCTGTACAGGAACTCATCATGTTAGCAGAAACGGCCACTTGCCTGAAATAAATATTTCCTCCTTCAGAATTGTATTTAAAGTTGGAAAAATAAAATTCAGGGCGGCAGACCTCGGGTCTGAGCCCTCCCGACCCCATCTGTTCTTGTCTGTCTTTTTCTAATCCTCACCCCCTCATTCAGGTACTGTTCGTTGCCGGCAGGTTCCGGCAAACCACACACACACCTGCAGTGGTTCCGCCTGCTCCCACGGACGCACCAGACCCACAGCTTCTCCTGAGCGTCCACAGCAGGAGGAACCAGCTCACTGCAGCACCAAGAGCTGTATTTACTGGGATATCACACAACTGGATTCAAAACTCACCAACAGCACTCCAGCGGGTGTGGCGCAGTGGTTTCAGCCCACAGAAGGCAGGGTCAAGGGCACGTACCTCGGTTGCAAGATCAATCTAGGAACATGCGGGAGGCAACCAAAGGATGTGTCTCTCTCATTTGGATGTTTCTGTCGCTATCCCTCCCTTCCCCTCTCTCTAACAAGCAACGGAAAAAATATCCTCAGTGAGGATTAACAAAACAAACACATCAGCAGCAGAGCAAGAAAACTACATTTGATGTAATCAAATTTTTAACACTGACTTTTCTGAGTTTATTTGTATTTAACAAAGAGAAGATGGGGTGGGGCAGAGGCTGTGTGTGTGGGGGGAGGTGGGTGGTCCCTAGAAGAGAAGAGGAAAGACTAAGATTGTATCCTCTCCGAGCCCAGCTCTGGCTGGGATCGCAGGCAGAAAAGGCTGAGGACTGAGGAAGCTACCTTAGGTGCCGGGCTTCCTGCTGCTGTCATGCCCAGCAGACCACACTGGCTCTCTCACGGGAGAAAGGTATGGCTGGCAGCTGGTATTTACCGTCTTATTGTCATTAACGCAGCGCGGTTAATGCAAAGCGCTTTTCCGCTCATCTCTGGCAGGCAGGTTCCGGCAAACCACACACACCTACAGTGGTTCCGCCTGCTCTCCCTGGGAAAGTAGATACAATCTTGTTTCTGGAACTAAAACCAATTAAGAGAACCAGGACTCTGACATTCCAAGAGCTGAAAACGTAAGAGCCTAAGACAGCAAAGTGAGCCTCTCCCCTCGGGCCCCCAGCACAACGCCTCCCACAAATGAATTCTCAAAAGACATTCTCTGGATAATAGAAGCAAGAAGCCTCTTAGACATATGTTCCCTTCACCGTTACTTACACTAACTTCTAGCTATAAAGACCTCAGAAACGCAAACTCATCACTGGATTGAAAAGGACGGTGGCCCGCCAGCGCTGCCTCCTCCTCAGTGTGCTGGTCCCAGGCCTGCTTCCCTCCTTCAGGCTCACTGTGACCCGGCGAACCTGACTGACGTCTCCCGAATCCTATCTGCAGCCAGGCCCCCCACTACTGTCTATTGACCCCGTGGCCACCATCACACTCACTGAGACAGCCCAACAGCTCCCCGCCCTGCAGAGTCTGACCCAGGAACCTAACTCTTCCTGGGCCCCTTCCCCGCCCCCACGCCAAACCTGTCTTTGGATTCCTAAGTTCACCTCCGTGACCGCCTCCAAGTGCCCACTGATTTCCAGGTCCACGGCCACCACCACAGCTGAAAGGACCACACTGCTCACCTGTCATCCCCCCCACCCCCGCACTGCCCGCCCGTCCTCCCCCACCCTCTGCCTGCCCCCCCCACCCCCGCCTGCCCCCTTCCCCCCGGCACCGCCCGCCTGTCCCCCCCACCCCCGCCTGTCCCCCCCCCGCCCCCTCCAGTCCCCCCGCCCCCGCCTGTCCCCCCCCACCGCCCGCCTGTCTTTCCCACCTCCCCACCTGTCCCCCCCACCTCCTTGCCTGTCCCCTCCCCGTCCCCCGCCTGTTCCCCCTCTGCCCCCTGCCCCACACCTGTCGTGTCCGTCCCCTCCACCCCCTCACCCTCTCCACCCCTCCCCTCCCCCCGTGCACAGCCCACCTGCCCCACAGCAACAATCTCCTACCGGTCCTCAGCACGCACTGGCCCATCTCATTAAAACTGTTCGGAACTCTCAGTGGACAAGGAGTTCAGAACCCGCTGCGGCTGGCAGCCCCACAGGCTCCAGTCAAGAGGGCAATGGAGGAGGATCCTGCACAGACCCTCCCAGACACACCAAACCGCCACTGCAGACCATGGTTTCCTCCCAAAGCACCACCATCGAGGCAGGTGACTCCTCTCCACCAGGAAAATGAGGAAAAGCCCACACTGGAGGCTGAGATGCAGTCTTCCCGTAATCCACCCGTGACACGCAACCTTCTCCCCGAGGAGCAAAGGGTTTGAACCCCACACCAGGCACAGCAACTCAGACCCACACCTGAGAGACGAGCCCCCAACACATCTGCTTAGAAAGCCAAGGAGGCGTTGCAGCCCCGAGACCCTCAAGGCCACAGCAAACTGAGAACCGATCTGAGATTTTCCCAGCTCGTGAGAGCGCCATCCTGATACACCAAGGTTGTGGGTTTGGTCCCTGGTCGAGGCAATATACAAGAATCAATCAATGCATGCACAAATAAGTGGAACAACAACCCCATGTTTCTTTCTCTCTCTCTTTCACCAAAAAAAAAAAAAAGACTTTCCAAGATCCATCTGCCCCGAGCCCAGTGCTGAGCCAACAACTGAAAAGGGCTGAAAGGTTAATTGGCTTAGCTTAAAACTTCGGCCTGAAGGGCAGGCATCTGAGGACCTCACGGTGAAGGGCCAACACCGATCCTCTTGCCGTACTGCAGAGGTGGGCAGTCACTGGCCTCCTCCCTCCGCTGGGCTCCGTGTCACCAGGATCACGTCTCTGCCAGGGAACACCCTGATCTGGTTCTGGTGGCGAACAAGACCTATGTTCATGGTTCCCAAGGACCAATGCAACAGTCCTAACAATCAAAGCCCCCCCCCCACACACACACACACACACACACACGAGAGCTTAGCACAGGGAAGCACAAGATGAGCCTGCAGATGAGACTCCGCAGCTGAACAGCTTGATTTGACCTCACAGTCCTTCAACTCCAAGCCCAGCTACGCCTTGCCACTTGTTGCTTCAGTTCAGCCATTAGGTCCTGTGACTCTGTACAAACCACACGTGCTGACTTTTCAGCCTTGATTCATTTCAGTTCACTGTCCCACTCCAGGCTTCAGTCCCTCTCAGGTCCTACCAGACCCTCTTCTCCCACCTCAAGGCCTTACCGCATGCTCTCTCCTGAAACACTGTTGTCCTCACCTTCCCTTCACCTGCTTAACCCCTCATCCTCTGAGCTCCCATCTCTCAGTGCTCACACCTTCCCCTTCCTCCCTTCACGATCAGGTTAGGTTAACTCTGCTGCCTGTTCCCAATGCCCAACACCCATTGCATTTCCTCAAGGGCCACCATCCTGCTAAGCTGCAAGATAAACGGAAGAGGTTTGTCTCATGTTTCTATACCCTCAGCTTAGAACTGAGCCGTGCTGCACACTCAGTACAAATTTGTTGAAAATTAAATGTGTCCAAAATGAGTGTACTGTACTATAGACAGAAACAGAAGCTCTCAGTGGATAGAACCTCAGCCTGAAGACTGAAGGGTCCCAGGTTCAAAACCCGTCAAGGGCATATGCCCAAGTTGTGGGTTCGATCCCAAGTGGGGGGTGTGCAAGCAAGAGCTAATCAATGATTCTCTCATCATTGATCTTTCTCTCGAAGTCAAAAAAAATATATTTAAAAAGAGATAGAAATTACCTACAGAGAAGACAAAAGAAATGTCTCCTTAGAAGTAGCCTCCACTCTCTGCAAACTCCTGGGAAATAAATAGCTCCACTCAACTTACTGACATTATGCTTTGAGAAAAACACTATTAAAAGAAAAACTGAAATTATAAAGGCTTGAAAACACATGAATACTTGGGAAATTGGTCATCATACAAAGTTCCAACTCCCTACAACTCCAACAGCTGAGGGGGAAGGAAGAACTTTCATTACTGCCTTTGGCTTGGCGTGGAGTTTCACTGCCAGCAGCCAGCACCGGGGCCATAGCAGCTCGGGGGCTCTGGAGGTCTGCCTGCCTCCAGACCCACATCTGTCCAGCTGTGCGACAGGGGCACATTACCCAACCGCACGACGGTTTCCTCTTTAAAAAACAAAGTTTTTATTTAGTTTTTTAGAGAGGGATGGAAAGATAGAAACATCAATGAGAAACATCATCATGAACTGCCTCCTGCACGCCCTCTTCTGGGGACCCAGCGCAACCGGGCAGGTGCCCTGCCTGTGACCTCCGGGTCCAAAGGTCAAGGCTCCACAACTGAGCAATTCTGGCTGCACTCAGTTTCCTCTTTTAAAAATGGCTAAGTAACATTCCTACTTGCTCCGAGGGATGGGAATGAAGACTAAATGAGGAAACCCTGAAGACTATGCATGCTTAGAACAAGCCTTCGGTCAATGTCAGACATCACTGTGCTCTAGCAGTTTACCTTCCAGCTCTGCCTCCAACACTGAGGCCGGCGGTTCCCTCGGTGCAACCCCTCCGCCCGCCTGGCCGAGGCTCCGTCCCCGCACCGCCTCCCGCTCGTCCCCGGGACCCTGCGGGCCCGCGCTCAGGGCGCTCACAGGGGGTCTGAGAGCTTAAGATAAAACTTAGTTCGGACGCCACGTGTCACGTCCCCCAGGGCGCCCCTCACCAGTCCGCCTCCAGAAATAAACCAAGAAACGCCAGAACCCGCCGCCCCACATCGTCCTCAACTTTCTGCCGGCAAAACGCGCCGCTGCAGCCCGGGGCCGCGGGCCCCTTCCCGGCGCGGAGCGGCTGGCAAAGCGGGGCGCGGGCAGGGCGGCCCTACCTCCGGGCCGCGGCCTGGCCCCGGCCCGCCCCCGCCGCGCCCGCCGGCGGCGCCCGCCGAGGGCCGGGGGCCCGGGGCCCGCCTCGCGGGGAGAAAGCGCCAGAGGCGCGCGGCCAGCGCCATCACCTCCTGGGGCGACCAGGCAGGGGAGCTGCGCACGCGCCCGCCGGCTCTTCTTCCGGCGCACCACTTCCGGTCTGGGACCCCGCTCCCGGGCTTGTGGGCGGGGCTTGCCCGAGTGGGTGGGACTGAGCGCCTTCCGCGCCTGCGCGAAGACACGAGCCTTGAGAGTCCCTCAGGCCTCGGGTCCGTTGTGCTCTGGGTCTGTGGGTCTGTAAGGGTTGGACGCGGAGCTGGGGCATCGGAACAAAATTGGGAGGTCGGAAAACGAAGACAGAGCTTGTATTCCCAGCTCTGCTGCCCCGGAGAGGCACACGGTGCAGGGTCCTGGGCAGACAGATGCCCAGGGAATGAGAAGGAGCCAGGCCCGCCAGCCGCCACCCGGAGCTGGGGTGCTGGGAGACTCCATTCCCCGCAGACCCTACACCGCAGGAACCTCTGATCCTGAGCCTAGTTCAGAGCCCAGGCCTGCAAACGCAGGGCCTGTTACCTGGGGCACAGGAAAACTTTATGGGCAAGGAGGCAAGACAAAATTTTAGAAATTAAGTTGCATTTATGTAGGCCTTTTACTACTATTCTGATCATAATGAATTAACTCGTACTCTTATTTCACTTCATTCTCCCCCAACCTGGTGGTCTGAAGACTGGAATCCATGAGTCTCATGTTGCGTCCCTGTGATGGCTGCCTTCCCCATGTCCCTGGAAATCAGCCACATTGCTTTAGGATTCATCAGTGATTCACTACTTAACTTGTCTTTAAAATGTGTTTTAAAAAAATATAAACATTCTCTTCCCAACATTTACTGAACCTAGCCTTTTTTCCCAGAGGGAACCAGTTTACACATTCCTACTGGTACCTTAGTGTTGCTAAATAATAGGCCTATGCCACTGGATGCCACCAAAATCCTGAAATCGAGTTTCTGATATTTCAGCCAAAAGGAAATTTTAATTAAACTTTATTTTGAAAAAGAAATAGATTCTTAGGAAAGTTGCAGGAACTCTAGATTCAGCCATCGTTAATGTTTTGTCACATTTGTTTTATCTTTCTTTACATATATTATAATACATAAGATATTACATAATATTCCTATTTTCTGTTGTTGAATTTTTTGAGAGTAGATTACACATATGACTAACTAGAAACAAAGGGGTTTTTTTAAATATATTTTATTATTTTGTACAGAGAGGAAGGGAGAGAGAGAGAGTCATCGACCAGCTGCCGCTTGCACACCCCCTACTGGGGATATGCCCGAAACCAAGGTACATGCCCTTGACCGGAATCGAACCCGGGACCTTTCAGTCCCCAAGCCAACGCTCTATCCATTGAGCCAAACCGGTCTCAGCAAAACAAAGATGTTGATGTTCTTGTTTAGTCCCCATACAATGATCAATTTCAGGAAATTGACAGAATACTATCCTATATAATAAAAGGCTAATATGCAAATTGACCCGAGGGCAGAATGACTGGTCTCTATGACATGCACTGACCACCAGGGGGAAGATACTCAACTGCTTCCAAGCTGGCCTAAGCTGTCAGTAGGACATCCACCAAGAGCTTCCGGACTGGCAAAGGGTGCAGGCTGGGCTGAAGGACCTCCCTACCCCCCGAAGTGTACCAATGTCATGCACCAGGCCTCTAGTTATTTAATATACATCTCAAAGGTGCCCTTTATAGCAACTATTTTTTCTCAACTCAGAATCACATCCTGATTACATATTGCATTTAATTGTTGTGTATCTTTTTTTTTTTAATATATATTTTATTGATTTTGTACAGAGAGGAAGGGAGAGAGCCAGAGAGCCAGAAACATCGATGAGAGAGAGTCATCGATCAGCTGCCTCTTGCACACCCCCTACTGGGGATATGCCCGCAACCAAGGTACATGCCCTTGACCGGAATCGAACCCGGGACCCGTCAGTCCCCAAACCGACACTCTATCCATTGAGCCACACCGGTCTTGGCTAATTGTTGTGTATCTTTAGTCTCTTTAAGTCTGCAGTATTTTATCATGGCTCCAGGTACACTATCTTTTCTTCCCTCCAAGGAATCTTGGATCTTTCTTGTCAGAATTTCTTCCCATCCTCCACCCTGCTCTATTATCCCTTACCTAGCTAATTCCTGTTCATGTTTCAGCTCTCAGCCCAAATGTCACTCCCCCAGAGAAGCTTTTCTTAATTCCCCAAATATAGTTTCATTTCCTTTAGGGTGCTGATCATTTTTTTAAATTAAATTATTATCTTTGTACATATACCATTGCCCCCACACACACACATGCTGATCATGTTTTGTGATTTCATTTTTATACTGTGATTATCTATTAATCTGGTATATTTTTTAAAAATATATTTTATTGATTTTTTACAGAGAGGAAGGGAGAGAGATAGTTAGAAACATTGATGAGAGAGAGTCATCGATCAGCTGCCTCTTGTACACCCCCTACTGGGGATATGCCCGCAACTAAGGTACATGCCCTTGACCGGAATCGAACCCGGGACCCTTCAGTCCCCAAGCCAATGCTCTATCCATTGAGCCAAACCAGTCTCGGCAATCTGGTATATTTTTGAGCTGCAGTTGATAAGAGCTGGTAATGTGTGCCTTTGCTATACTGTAAATTCAATGGCATGTGTGATTTTTGTCTTATAACAAGTCCTGGCACTATTTCTTCATTCATTCAACAAATGTTTATTGCATGATATACCTGCTACTCTTCTAGATGTGAATGAACAATTCCTAATGGGGTATATATTCTAGTTGGGGAAATAGAGTAAGCAAGATAAATAATAAAAGATATAATAGATGACGATAAATGTTAAAGTGGAAGACAAAGCAGGAAGGATTGCATTCCCGTTTTGGCTTTGCAGCGTTAACCAGGGTGGTGGGCACAGAAGCCTCACTGGAGAGACATTTGAATAAAGTCCCAAAGAAGAGGGAGTGAGCCCTGAAGAAATCTGGGGGCAGAGCACTTCATGTCCAGGAAAAGTGCAAAGGCCTGATCTGGGAAGACGTTTTCCATGAACGGAAAATCCACTCCTAAAGTAAGGGTTCATTGAGCAAAGGTCAATTGATCAAAGGTAGGAGAGAGGTCAGAGAGGTGTTGGGGACCAAGTACTGGGGCACCTAGTAGGCAATTGTTAAGAAGTAGGATTTTCCTGTTATGATTGTTGTGACATCACCTAATTAAAATATTAATTAGATCCTTCTGACTGCTTTGAAAAATTGACTGTAGGGGAACAAGTAGCAATGCAGTTACTAGGATATTGGAATCATTTAAAAAGAATTAGTGGTGACTTGGACTAGGCTGGAAGATATGAGTGGTCAGAGTCTGGAAACACATGAAGGTAGAGTTGACAGAATTAGCTGACAGACCAGGTGGGAATGGGGTATGAGAGGAGAGCTTCAGAGTCAAAGATGACTCCACGAGTTTTGACCCAAACAACTGGGAGAATGTTTTGCCATTATGTGAGATAGAGAAGATTGGGGGGATAATGCTAGAAAGATTGGGGTTTATTTGTACATTTAGAGTCAAAGCCCTCAACAGACATCTGTGGTGGGTGGCCTCTCAGATGGCCAGCAGTGGCCCTTTCCTCTTGAGTTTACCTCTTTGTGGGACCCCTCCCACAGGCTGGTCTGTTTGACCAATAGAAGACGGCAAAGTCATAAAAGTTATAGATCTTCTGCCTTGATTTTTTGAAATATTACCCTGGAGGAAGCCAGCAGCCATGCCCTTAGGACACTCACGCCCTAATGAGAGGACCACGTGGAGAGAATCTGAGGTCTCCCACCAACACGCAGCACCCCTGGGACTTGCAAGCAGGCCACCTTGGGGGTGGATCCTCCACTCTGTACCCCTCAGGATACCTAACTGGAACGCCATCAGAGTGAAGTACCTGAAACACCCGCTAAGCCACTCCTAACCCCTGAACACAGATGCTAGGAGAGGTAATATGATTGTTAGTTTTAAGCCACAAAATTTGCTATAATGAATTGATTTCATGAACATTTTATTTATTTTAAAATCCATGAAATCTCCACCAGGTGTTGAGTCCATACATATTTGTTCTTTGTTTCTTGCACTTTGTTATACCTGACATAATATGCATTCAAGACATGTTGAATAAATGGATGAAGGAACAAGAATTCAAGTAGAAGAGAATTGAGACTGTAGCTTGAACAGAAGGGATAAGTGTACTTAAACGAGATTGCTTAAGTGCACAACATTTCCTTTTCCATATTTCCTCCTACTTTAGTGGAGATAGAGGCCATGAAGGTGAGGTATGAAAATTATATATTTTGGAAAATTTGAAAAATACAGTTAAATTAGTGGTGTCTGTGGACCTCCATTTAAATGTAAAAGCATAGTCAAGAATGAAACAAAAGGTTGTTTTTCCCAAACTTTAGTAATAGCAAAATGAAGCACTTCTTCCTCTCCACTGTGTTGCAATCACAAAGGCCTGTGTCTGCCCCTGCACTGCCAGGCCTGCTGCTGCCTTGGCCCAGCCATCATGCCATGGCCTTCAGATCTTTGCATAATTGGCTTTATCTTATTTTTTAGGTCTCAAATATCGCCACCTTAGAACTTCCCTTATCCCATCTTCCCCAAGTCACCCTTTGTACTTTCCCCATGGTCGTTATGGCTTCCTGAAATCATCTCATTTGTTTGTAGTAACCAGTTACTCTTTGTCCTCCCTCTAGGACAGAAGCTTTTGCCTGACACTAGTTTATCACAAATCTAGAACCCTGCATGGCACACCCAGGACATGCTGAATCCTCGCTTGTACTGATAGGATTCATTCTCTGGATTAAAAGTAAAGTTTTTACTTAGGGAAATCTACACCTTTTCACTTGTTTCATTTTCCATTTCTTCTTTAATTTAAAAAATTATTCTCTGCCCAGTTTTCTATCATTAAAAAATCCATTTAGACTTAAGATACCAACCCTTTCCTGGACTGTCCGAGTTTATGGCAAATATTTTCCCCAGTGTGTTTACCTATTGATTCTGTCC